GGTCACCTACGTCACGACTTCAACTACAACGGCGACGACGACTACTATTACCTACTACTACTACTACTACTACTACTACTACTACGACTACTGCTACTACTACTACTACTACTACTACTACTACCACCATTACTACTACCGCTACCGCTGCCGCTTCCGCTACGGCTACTGCTGCGACGAGATCTAAATCGCTGCTGCCGCTGCCGTAGGAAAAGAAATCAAAAACCGCAGCTCCATCCTCTCCTCCTTGACAATCTTTCCAAAAAAAGGCATGGAACGTCGAAGCTGTTGCTGCCACGTGTCTGCATCCTTGACTCGTCTGGATCTGTGACATGTTGACCACGAAGCCACAGAGACCACAGTCAAGCTTTTTTATCACGTACCCACATCCCCTCGCCGGGCAGCGAGGCCAGCCTGGTGCAAGCCAGAAGAACTCCGAAGAACTCCGCTTGTGACTTCCGGAATGAGGTTATATCGCACTACAGGCTGTCTACCGGCCGCATATGCTTGGAAGCTGGAGCTGCTGTTACAAGTGCCAACCAGTCTTTTTCCTGCGTCGCGACAGACGGGTTTGGGCCACTGCCTTAAGGCACCGGGACTCGGGCAGCTTTACGACAAAAGCTGCCTGGTGGTGGTGGTGCTCACCAACCATAGCTGACAAGGCAAAGCCAAAAAGCAAGTTACAAAGTGTCTGGGAAGCAAAGTTGCCTTCCGTTGCTCTTCCGGAAGAAACGACACCAACCTGCAATATTCGGCATTCCGGGAGTAGATCTGGACTCAAGAAACCATACCCATCAAAGACGATACCGGAAAGCAGACCTGGTCGTTGCTGCGTGGGATGGCCGAAGCATTTATGTGCAACCAGTATCAGAAAACATCTCAATGACGTCTAGACAAAGTCTGATTCCAAAAACCGCGGCATCAGCAGAAGTAGCAGCAGCAATAGCAGCAGTAGTGATTGTTGGTCATAGCACCAACAGTAGCAGCAAGAAGAGAACAAAACGAACAATAGCAACGATGATATAATAATAAAATGAACTAGCAGCAGTAGTCGTAGCAGTAGCAGTAGCAGTAGCAGTAGCAGTAGCAGTAGCAGCAGCAGCAGCAGCAGCAGCAGTAGTAGTAGTAGTAGGAGTAGCATTAGCAGTAGCAGTAGCAGTAGCAGTAGCAGTAGCAGTAGCAGCAGTAGTAGTAGTAGTAGTAGTAGTAGGCGTAGGAGTAGGAGCAGTAGCAGTACTAGCAGCAGCAGCAGCAGTAGCAGTAGCAGTAGCAGTAGCAGTGGTGGTGGTGGTGGTGGTGGTGGTCGTGGTGCTGTTGGTGGTCGTGGTGATGGCAATCGAAGGTGAAGATTGCGGTAGTCACTGCAGCAAGACTACGTTCCAGTAGCAGTATTGCACTTGTTTTCACGGTGCAGTAATGACGCACTAATATCTAGCCGCAATGTTACCAACAAAACTTCAAGATCGACCCAACGCTCGGCAAGACCGGGACGTACTCCAGAGGTCTGGAGGTGGTCATTGGCCCAACCTACTGAAAGGTTTCAATCTTAAAATGAGCATCGGCATAAAGCACGCCTTTGCAATGCAAGCAGGTCTTCGGTCCGGGACGAGCATCCAAGGCCGCTTGAAGAGTACTGAATGGCGACGTGCCCCTTGATATCGGCAGCTGGTATCTAAGCCACCCCCTTATCCTGATGCTCCCACCAGGATTTACAGGACAAATGAAACATGAGCCCTTGCACAGCTTCGGCCATTTAAACGCTGGACCTTGTACAAGGCAATCTTATGCGCCCAACAGAGCCCATTCTACCGTGCAGTGTAGAGGGCTTTGCAGCTTGTGTTGGGCCAGGGCGAGTCTCACATCCCATACTCATGAAAACCAAACTCTGCAGCACTTTCCCGAAGTCCACACGACCGAAGACCTGGAAACAGCCTGAAGAGCGGCAAATGTATACTCGCCGCATGCTCCTGCCTCTTGTCAGAACAATACATGCACGACTTGGCGCCAGGACACAGGAGCTTAACGCCTTGGGCGCAGCCCCGCAATCCATCTGTACGAAAGATCACAGCAATATAAAGCTGCCGAGTTCAACTCGGTAATTTTGCCAAACAGAGAAGATTTGACGTCCTCTGAATTTCGACTGCGACTGGCTTCTCATCCTTGCGTATTCTTGCATTCTGTCGCGAGCCGTCCCAGGCATGCCCGAAAACGCTAGAAGGCAAAGATTCAAGGCGGCCTCCTCTCACACGGAGTCGGAGATAGGCTTGCATGAATCCTCGGTGCCGACTTCTTGAAAAATCCTAAGCGTGTGAGGTTCACTGGCAAGGCTTCTGCTACCCTGCGGCAGAGCCTCATGAAAGCACATCGGATTCGAATCCCGACCTCATTGCACGCAGTCTGCAGAGCATGAGCCGGAGGAGCTTTCTTCGTGCCACTAACGCAAGGGTCTGTGTCGAACACCGAAGCTGAACACGGGCTCCGAGTTTGGATGCAGTCGGGCTGCTCGGGTGGTGTGCCAGCATCTGAGGGAGCTGAATTATCTTGCCTGTGAGGATAGCAGGCTGTGCACAAGAAAGCACCAAGGATTGCCAACTTGGTTGAGGCATTCCGTCAGCTCATTTGGGAAATTGCAGAGTTCCTGTCGCGATTCAAGAAGCCTTACCTTTGATCTCTGAAAAAATGATTTCGGTAGTAGGCATCATGGTCTGACACAGACATGCACAGAACAGCACCCCGGGCTCAGGCAAGTGAAGAAACCAGCGTGAGGCAACCCAGCATCCAGCCACACTGCTGGGGTCAACCACGGATGGTTCCCATGCTCGGCACACGTCGCATCGGGACAGCGTGAACATGTACGAGAAGAAGGTGATGAGTAGGTGGATTGACGATGGCGATGGTGAAAGAACAACGATGAGAACAGTGGTTGTGACCATGGTGATGATGATGGTGATGGTGATGATGATGGTGGTGGTGATGATGATGATGACGATGATGATTGATGATGATGGTTGTGGTGCTGCCGGATCGCAGCCGTGAGGCTTCCGGAGCTTATAAGCACAGGCATGGGCGTTGAGTCTTGAGTGGACCAAGAACAGGCAACCTCATCGAGCCCGGGCAGCAGGTTGTCGAGCTATGCTTCCAAGGTGAAAACATCAGCCAGAACCCTGCATCGTGGTGTTTGTGGTAGTGCTTGCACAGTTGTGGCCGCGATGCGGCTGACGACTCCTACTCCCACTCCCACCGCCACTGCTACTTCTACTGCCACTGCTACTACTGCTACTGCTGCTGCTCTTGTCACTGCTACAGCTACTGCTATTACTACTACTATTAAGAAGAAGAATACTAAAAATACAGCTACTGCTACTCGAATATTGGCAATCGTCGCTGTCGCAGTAGCCAGCGGAAAGACCAGCAACAGCAGCAGCAGTAGCAGCTGCACCAACAGACGTTGCCGTTACTGTGGTAATGGCAATTCGTGATACTGCTGCTGCGTGGAAGAACTGCTGGTGCTCATGGTCGTCGGTCGTCAGATCAGAACCAGAAGTGGTGCTACCGTTCTTTCTTGCTGTTGTCACCGGTGATCTGATAAAAATTTCCGTTGTCTGCACAGACCGGTTGCCTTGGCGTGGCATACTGTGACGTGGAAGTAGGTTCCATAATCTCGCCGAGGAAGTTGCAGAGCTCACCTTGGTCTTAAGATCTACAGCATTCCCAACATCTGGTAAACAAAAGTGTCTGTTGACCATTCTAGGCACAGGTCATACGATAGCAGGTACGCAGGGTACGCATGGTACTGACCTGAATTGCAACTCAGCTTGAGACCCAGACCCTCAAGCTGTCAAGTATCGTGTCTCAACCCTCTACGCGGGTGGTGGTTTCTGAAGCACGTGCAAGACATGAAAGCAACGTGCGAAGACTATGCTATGTAGGCGGAAGCTGGGAGTTCCAAATTCAAGCCATTGGGCCTCGAGCAAGTCCCTCAAGTTAAAGCCTGAGGAAAGGCCTGCCCAAATCCCGCTGCTCAAGGATCCTGAACCCTGAATATCCCTGGAACCCACTTTGAAGTTTCAGCCCCTGTTCTGCTTCGCGAGAAGGCTTCCCGCGCATGATGTTGTACCAAAGAGAGTCTCGACCAGAGGGGTTTGACAGCGTGCGGCGATTCCACTTCGAGGTTTTCGCATTCGAATGCAGCGTGCGAGGATCAGAGCAACAACGCCTACAAACTCGAGATTTGGCCGAGGTGGGGGGCTCCCCGACAGGATGACGAATCCGATTCATTGCTGCCCACCCAGTCACAAACCAACGTCTCGACTTGATGGAACTCCTCAGACAAGAACTTGCGGAGCTCGACAATATCCTTGCAGACTCCAGGCACAGCCTCTTGAAATGAACAACATCGTCCTACTGCTGCATGGATGTCATGCCAACGTAGACCGATGTCGGGACGATACAGGTGGGTTACCACTACTACTTATTTAGCCCCTCTATATTCAACCTAACACCCCGAACCTTTGACCCAAACCCTGCAGCCGAGTGATCCCAAGACCCTAACCGTCAACCTGTAGAGAACCCTGGTATGTCCAAACAGTAATCCAGCATGACGACAAACACGACGACCACGACCAGCAGCAGCACCACCACCACTTGGAATGGGACTTAATAAGTACAGTTCTAAGTACCCTAATTGGGGTTACAAGTATTGCCTTATTTATAACCCTAGTTACTAAATCCCATGAGCCTTTAAGCACGGGGACGACCACAGCCACCACGACCAACATGCCAGGAGACTAAGAGGAAACCAGCGCGGGACTACATGGGTTTACCGGCAGTCATTGCGGGTGCTGAAGATACAGCCGTTCAGAATAAAAACAGTGCCAACAAGCTAGAAGTAAGTTTTTAATCTCGTCGAACTGGTAGTACCAGTTCGATACTCTGACTGCATGGGCGTTAGCCGTTAGCTTCAAGTCAAGGATCCATATAGCGAAAACTCAGACCCGAGATTCGACGTCAGGACGGGCCCTCGCTCTCGAACGGAAAAAACTTGAGAACCCCTTGACACGACAATTGGTGGGCTTCATGAAGGAAGCACCTCCGACCGGTGGATTTAGCGGTAAGCTTTGCTGCAACTTCTTGCTGCCAAATCTCCTTCACTGTGGTCTTGTTCGAGCCACGAAGAGTCAGCATAGCTTGCCTGGTGTCAGACACTCAGCCGCTGTCCATGCCTTGCCTCGGAAGCCCTCAAAACAACAAATCTCGTCGAGGGGCGAACAGGCCCTAACAAGGAAAGGCCAGAGACGGAGACAAGACAGCAACATAAACCCGAAAGCAAGGACGGGAGCAACCACCAAGCTTCAAGGTGAAAACGACTGTCTGGTAGAAGCGAAATCAGGAAACATTCCACACATGTCGCAACAAACCGCCGCAGTGCGACTGGAGGGAATGCACCGAAAGCTGTCCAAAAGCAGACTCAGACCAGCGGCAAACAGAGAGGGTGGAAGCGACGATATGTTAATTAGTTACCTAATCGTTGACCCTGAGGCCTCTGCTGCATTCGTTGATCCGCTACTGCTGACCCCTGCCCCCCCTCTCACGAAAAATGCTGCTTCCTTCCAAGCGGCATGAAATCCACGAAGGATGCCTTCTCACCATCCTCGAAAAGCAGCTTGCCGTAGTCGTAAGCAGCCGACACATCCTGAGTTAGCCCAGCTGCGTCGGAGAGGACGCAAACACTTTATAGGACCGAATGATCACTATTTTGACTATTGCAACAGGTATTTTCAGCTTATGCAGATACATACATCTGCATATAAATCCACATCCATATTTACATGTACGCAGTTAAGTGGTACCAAATGGTACCCCGCCTCCCAGAATCCACGCCTTTGCCACAGCAGGTACGGAGTTCAAATTTTGGGATCTGGAAACCATCGGCGTTATCTCCGCGCCAACTTTTCTGCGCAACTACTTCTGCATGGCTTGTGACACGTGATTGCACCTGAAATCCCACGTTAGAAATGCTTGGGTTGTTGCGGTTTTGCATGTCTACCGATTCGTTCGGATGTGCCAGTAGCAAACTACGGTTTCGGAAATATGAGAACTCCGTTACACCTCAATACGTTTGGTCATAGTTACCTGTGCGTCGGGGTCTCCATTTATATAAATGGAAGGGCCGTCTTTCCTATATAGATAAGAAACAGTGGGACGCCTTCTGCAAAACAACATAAACACTGGTTCCAAGATCTTCCCAGACGCCATGTCTCCAGACAGCCAGAACGGGAAACCCGGAATAATCATATACCTCGAGCCAGTCCGAAACAAAAACCAAAAACCCCAAAGATTCCAAACGCATCAAAAGGCTTTTGGCTCGGAAAAACAGACACCCGTATCAGCATGTTAATCGAGATCGTCCCTACAAAAATACAAACAAAAACTAATCTTCTAAGGTCTTCTAGAAATAGTTTTTGTGCTTTTGTTGGGAAGTCGCGGAAATTTCATTCCACTCGCCGTAGGTGTTTGGTTTGAGTTGGTTTTTGGGACTGTCTCGAGAAACTACCTGAAGGCCTTGGGATTTTCAAACTGTCTGGATTTTGAGTTTCGGGTTTTGATGTTTCACAAAAAACCCTCAGGCATTGGGTTCTGGTTTAGTCTGGAGGGGTGCCGCTGCCGTGGAACGGCACCGAGCGTTCGCGGGGCGACGCTGCCGTTGAACAGGGCTGGAGAACAGGCTGTGGGCGCCGAGTGTTCGCTGGGTGACGCCGCCATGGACGGGGCTGCCACGGGGGAGACTCGAAGGCACGTTCAGCGTTTCAAGCGGCTCTGAAACCCTTGGGCTCGTCCAAGGAGAGGACCGACATTGGGTCCTCTTACACCCTACAGCTCATCATGTTCTAAGACTGTTGCTAATGAGCAGTGCGACGGCCTTGCGAGTCAGATCTGGTAGGCTAGAGAGGGCAAGGGGAGCCGCCACGAAGGATTGGGCCATGACTCGGGTCAGACTTCCAACCCCATTATTCCGTTTAACCCGATCCACCTTCGAAAAGTCCGAGCATGTCTGTCCTCATTTTATGGCAGCAGCTATCTGTTTATCTACCCGAAATCGCTTGGGACGTAGTCCTAGGGCTGTCAACGCTAGAGGTCCCGAACCCTGAAAAGCGTAAATAAACCCCTAAGCCCCGATCTAAAGCTTTCAAAATGAACCTGAACTCTTCCAGGAGCCTCTGGATTGATATATTGACTCGACTTGACAACAATTGCCAACATGCGACATTACGAGGCTCCCATTCTACGTATATGGGTTTCTGGTTTGGGTGTGTTGGGGTGTTGAGAAGCGGCCTTCGGAAGAGCTTGGAATCGCTCTGCTTTTGTTTTGTTCCAGGCTGTCTCGAGGAATATGCCCATTCTGGCTGTTCCTTTTTTGTCGTATTGAGAGTGTAGCCAAGAAATGGGCAGGAGTATGCTCATGGGGGATCTTTGGTCTTCCTCTTTCGGGACTGTCTCGGGGCATGGCCTTTTGAGGATCTTGAAGCCTGCCTGTTTTCAGGACCGAGGAGTATGCGCCTGTGCCCTTCCGGTCTTGGTGTCTTGGGGCCGTCTCGAAGGACGGTTGGGTTCTTGGCTTTGCTTCTGGGACTGCCTCTTGGAATCCCAGGTGTTTTCGGCTTGACAGGGTGGTACTTGTCTTGGAATGTTCGGCCAGGTCTCGGTATCGTAGTATGCAACAGCCAAAGGCACACACGCAGTCACAGGCGCACCTACATACATAAATGCATGCATGCATGCATACCATACCA